TGAATCACAATGGACGTGAGCCGCGAGAACTGACGGTCGAGAACGTGAACCTTGAATGCCGTCGTATCCCCGAGCGTCCGGCCCTGGTAACTACAGTCGACGAGGACCCAGTCGGTCGTGAGGTTGATTGAATGCCAGCTCTGGCCGTCAAGCATGAGCGGAAGCACCTTTGCGACGTACGATGACGTGTAAATGTGGTCACTGCTTAGCGGTTGGAGGCATCCATCGCGGTTGAAGCTGAGTGTTGAATGGTTGCTTGGATCGGTTGCGTCCAAGTAGAGAAGGCTCGCAGCTCCTGGCGGCAGCACCGTCGTTGCGTTCATTGGCAGCGGGTTGTTTGTGACGAGCGCCTGAACAAACAAGAGGATGTACGACTGCGAGTAGCGGTTGCTCGGGTTGAACATCTCTTCCGAGACGCCCTTGATGCTGTCTTTGGTCGCGAACGACCCCGTGATGTCGACGAACAAGATGTAAAAGATGGCAGCGAAGGCGGCGAGCCGGCTCATCGAGGAGTAGACGGACATCACCGCACCGTGCATGGTTCTTTTTGTGTCGAAAAGACGTTTTGAGGTTAGTTTCAGAAGTGACCTTACGTGTACAGTAGGTCACGCGTCTAGACATCGCCAAGAATATAACAATACGGGCGTTCTGAGCACAAGCTCCGCCGTCCACTAATCCGTACTAACAGCCGTTTTCAGTTGGAATGACGAGAGAATGGAGTTGTCGCGTTGAGTTTACGCGGAGCGAAAAATGGAATAGAGGCCGGCTAGGTATGTCTTCCTACTTCTTGGGGACGCACTGCGAGTAGTACGCATTGTGCACTTTGCACGTATCGGCGCCGCGGCACGTCTTGCCGTTGGCCTTGAAGTTGTTGTTGCTGCCGCCGCACTGGCCCCACGTCGCAATCTCGTTGGCACTTGGCGGCGTCGGCTGGCACTGCGAGTACGCGTCGTTGACCTTGATGCACGTGCTGCCGTCTGCGCATCGATAGTTGCCACTGAAGCCGTTGCCGCCGCACTGGCCCCAGACGTTGATTTCCGCGGCGTCGGCGGCCATTTCTGCCTTCTTCTTGGGCTCACACAAGGAGAGGTAGTCGTTCTTCTTGTTGCAGACAAAGCTGGCGTCCTTGCAGCAAACGCCAAAGGGCCAGTTCTGTCCGTTGCACTGACTCCAGTTCTCCGAGCACGGTGGGGTCGCGGCCAAGGAGACGGCGGCGATGGGCATCGCAAGTTCGGCAAGGAGGGCGACGGTGCGCATGGCGTTGCTTGTGTTGAACGAGGTGTGTTGTGGACTGCCGTAGAGAGAAAGAGGGTCGTCTCGTCGAAGGCTACCGCGGCGAAGGATAGATCGCACTTGGAGGCATTATACGAACGAAATACAGCGACAATGAATAGGAACCACGGGCATTCGTGTTCCAAATTCGAATCTCATTGTACCTCGTCGCTTTGAAACATTAGCGTGCCACGTGGGGCCAAGTGCGTTGCAAGTCCAAGCCTCGGACGGTTCTGCATTTAACGTGGAGATGGTAGCCCATCTTTAATTCGTAAATCAAGTGTAAATCAAGGGCAGATGTAAACACAGCCGTGCTCGCATCTGGCGCTGCAACCGCCATCGCAACTTCAACCAGTCAGCGATGCGTCTAAATATGGCAACATGTGGTTGAAGATGGCTTGTGCCACAAACAATTACGCGATGACGTCTAACTTTGGCTGTACGCCTCGAACGGCGACGTGACGTGGCATTTCGTGCTCTTCAGAGTACTATCTATCGACGGGAAATGCGTGGGCGATTTCAATTTCGGATGTCAATTGGGCGACCGAGCCGCTCGGTGTCGGCAATGCGTGGATGTGATGTCATGTGATTGGTTAAAAGGCATGAGAAATGTGGCCAATACGAGCGCGTGCATGTATTATTTTGCAAAAATCGTTTAATACCTTAACGTTTGTATGTCATGTTCGAGAGGATAGCAGCGTGAGCTCGGTATTTGGATGGCGACTACCGCATAAATTGTGGGTACCTAACAAACGTGCCTAATAAAAGCGAAGAAGAGAAGAAGAGAAGGTCGTCTTTCGAAAGACGTTCTATCGTCCCATCGTCCCGTCGTCCATCGCCATGTCCTTCGAAAGTTGACCTTCTAGCGCCGTTGAACGATAAAATATATGCCGTATAAAATACACTTGATTTTTGTATGTATTTTTTCCCCATAAATGGATCTATTTTCGGCTGAGTTTCTACCAATGGCAGTGCGCTAAACTTCCAGATACAATCCGGATGCTTGTCAGCCAATGCCTATGCTCCATGAGGACCGCCAGCCAATGCCTATGCTCTATTCTTGATACTCGATCGGCATTGGCCAGTGGTCCCGCGAGACGGTTGCCACAGAGGCAGCAGCGCGCCAGCTACACTGCAAGTTCATCCGTCGGTCGTGCAACGTTGGAGGGTTATTCGACGACCGGCGGCTCGACGCGACTGACTGGAGCTCTCTTGGGGCTTGCACGACTCGGATTATGCGCGGGGCGGTGAGCGAGGGTGCCTTCTTCGTGTACTCGCACCATAGCGTGTGCTCTCTGGGGCGTT